TGTCACAAGGAATTAAGGGCTGAAAAGGCCCCGGAGAGGCTGCTCCTCTGGAACAGTCTCTCCTTTCTGTGACCAGGGTGGTCCCCTCTCTGTGCCCCTTTTGTGTCCCATCCAACTCCCCTCCCCCTGGCCGTGCAGTACATGCCAGAGGGAGAGACGGGCGGGCCATCGCCGCGGCAGCTCTCCCGGTCCTGCCGGCTTCTCGGCAGCAAGAAGGCAGAGGTTCGTGCTGCTGGAGGGCTTCCCTTGCTTTCTTTCTCTCTGCGTCTCCGACAGCATCGCCCGCTCTCGCTCCCAGTCCTCCTTCCCACAATTCACGTACAGTCTCCTCAGAACAGGGATGATGTCACTTCCTTCCAGAGGGTGCCGGGGGTGTGGAAGGGGGGAGTCACGACCCCTGGCTCTCAGCAGCCCCGATGAATAAATGAGGTTGCTGTCTTGGAGGGAGGGAGTTGCGCCGAAGATGACGCCCGGCTCTGTCGGCAGGCAGTCACCACGCCGTCCTTCCCTTTGCCGAGGGGGATTTTCAATGGCTGCAAGAAGAGTTTGCTGCTCCCTCCTTCGCTTGTGATGCCTGTCTCCGTGGATATGCACTTTTCCTGAAATACCCTTACGGGAGAGAAGAATGTACAGCGGCTGGACCTCATGCCATGTAAGATTTCTGCTTCCATAGATCTTTCTCTGGTCTGAGGGTCAAGGGCTCTGGACTCCTTGCACACAAAGCTTGTGCCTGCATGCGCTTCCCCCGGATTTCAGTGCTGGGAGCTTGGGGCTTCTTGTACAGATTTCAAGGTCCTGGGAATTTTTCACTCTTTGCAGCAATTTTAGGGGCAGTGCAAGGGGTTCTTGCTGTTGCGAAGCTAGGGTGTGAGTGGTCTTGGGGCTGTTGGCACTCTGACCTTCCGCTTCCCTCCTAATTCCTCTGCTAGATCATATCTTCATTATCTTTAAAGGTAACTGCTGGAATCTGCTACCCCGAGATGAAGCCAGAGTCCTCGCACTGAGCGCTTTATTTTATTTTTTTTTTTTTTTGGTGGGCTTTACAGTCTTAGGCCTTCTATCATCTCCCTTCTTTGCAAACCGGGGGCGAGGCTCCAGGCCCCTCACGGTTTAGATTTTCAATAGACGGTGTTTGAAAATGAATCGGAATTCCTTCTGCGGTGCACCGGGAGCCGGGTAAGCGTTACAGCTAGGAGTGACAGTCCGGCTGCTCCGTCCCCGTCTGCTGCTGGGGGTAAGGAACTCGCAGGAGACGTTTGCTGCTCTTGCCGATGCCCTGCCTCTGGAACCGGCAGCGGGTGGCGAAAGCAGGCGGAGCACAACTGCTTGCATCTGGAGAGGTGGAAGACTTGTGGAAAGTGCGTTGGCGGGATGCAGCCGTAGGCAGAGGGATGGTGGGAGCTGAGGTCTGAGCCGGGCTTGGGAGGTGCTGCGGCGGCCAGAGGCAGCGCAAACGAGCGTGCTGGGAAGTGCGTCCACATAGGACCAGGTTGGACGGCGCTCTGAGCAACCTGATCTAGCTCATAGAATCATAGAATCATAGAATGTTTAGGGTTGGAAGGGACCACTAGTGGTCATCTAGTCCAACCCCCCTGCAGTGAGCAGGGACACTGCTAACTAGATCAGGTTGCTCAGAGCCCCATCCAACCTGGCCTTGAATGTTCCCAGGGATGGGGCCTCCACTACCTCTCTGGGCAACCTGTTCCAGTGTTTTACCACCCTCATTGTAAAAAATTTCTTCCTTACCTCTAGCCTGAACCTACCCTGTTCTAGTTTAAAACCATTTCCCCTTGTCCTAACACAGCTGGCCCTACTAAAAAGACGTTCCCCATCTTTCCGTAGCCCTCCTCTGGACCCGCTCCAACAGTTCCATGTCCTTCTTGTGCTGAGGGCTCCAGAGCTGGACGCAGTACTCTAGGTGAGGTCTCACCAGAGCTGAGTAGAGGGGCAGAATCACCTCCCTTGACCTGCTGGCCACGCTTCTCCTGATGCAGCCCAGAGTAGGGTTGGCTTCTGGGCTGCCAGCACACATTGCCGGCTCATGTCCAGCTTTTCATCCCCCAGCACCCCCAAGTCCCTCTGGGCAGGGCTGCTCTCCATCCTTTCTTCCCCCAGCCTGTATTGATAGTTTGTGGTGTCCCCGCTCACTGCGGGGGGGTTGGACTAGATGACCTCTAGGGGTCCCTTCCAACCCGAAACATTCTATGATTCTACATACCGAGCAGGGTTGGCAATAGTCAAGAGAGAAGCGCTTCGCACGGGAGGTGCGTGACAGGCAGGCGGGCTATTGACGGCGAGGCTAGGAGGAGTCACCAGATGGCCAGAGGAGTGAGCAGTTTGGAGGCAGAGCTGCGATGTACCCAGTGCTCTGATTATTACGTGCTAAGGAAGCGCGGATCCAAACGGTGGTGTGACTTCCCATTCGCTTTGTTTGTGGAATAGAGCGTTTCCTTCGCCCAAGCGAGTGACGTGCTGGAAGTGTCAGCCTGGTAGTGACGGAATCTCCCGGAAAGCGGGAAAGATTTGTGTAGGTTTTCAATGCTGAAATGGGTAGGAAGGTCTGGTCCACCGGCCGTGGGTGTTGGTACAGGAGGGGGAGCTCCTCTGTTTTGGGATGGTCTGTGCAGTGGGTAAGTGATGGGGTAACTACGTCTGACTGGTGAACAGGTTTTGGTGGGACGAGGCAGCTTCTGTTACTGCAGCGATCGGCGCTGTGATACCGTCTGTGGTCCGTCACAAACCCAACGCTTGTGTTCCTTTGAAGGTTCAAATTAGCTTCCATGTGATCAAGTCACTCGCCTTTCTTTGCCCAGGGCACTACATTAGAGACATCATATCCAAGTTTGATTTTGTCTGCCTGGTGCGTGAGTGAGGTATGGCAGCTGATATTCCCTCTGAAATGCTGTGGGAAATCCCAATTACATCAGAAGTAACAAACATGGGCACTTTGC